GTCGGCACTCACCGTGCGGGGCACAGGGTTTGTCCTGCAGATAAGAAGTTTCTGGGGATGGGCGTGGGAAGGGCTGGACGACCGTGAACGTGAACGTGCCTCCGTGACGCCTCCCTGCACACGCGACAGTGTAAGATAGGCAGTTACCCCGCACGTACGTCTCACCCTGACTTTACAAAGCAAACAGAATTGTTACCAAAAGAAGTGGCATCTTCTGTGTGACACTAGTACCAGGAAACAGGCTCCACGTCCGTCTCAAAATACGCAGACAGGTGGGAAGGCTCAGTGGAACAGCTGGAAGAAGTCAGAATCATTCTCCCTCCGGGGGGAAAAACCCAAGCCAGACTACTCCCAAGGTGACCTCGCCGGGCAGCCAACAGCACAAGGCAGGCTCCACAGACACCTCTTGGGAAGCCACTGCCCGGCCCCACCGCGGCCTCCAAGTAGCCTGTGCACAAGCGCAGGTGACAGCCTCACCCTTGGCCTTCTGCTGCCACAGCCAAAAACCTCCTCACTACACTGTTACACCCCAGGCACATCACACTCACACACACACCACACACACCACACACACACACACACACACACACACCAGGCTCAGGGGCGTGCACACCAGCCCCGCCCTCCTGGCTCTTCCTGCAAACCTGATGATCCCGTCTGCCCGCAAACCCTGCAGCTCCTGGCTGCTCGGGACCTGGTTTGTCGCACAACCGCTTCTTCCTGGACAGCCAGCCCCAGGGTACTTCCCGCTGCTTCCCTCTGCTCACAACTCCGGCGTGGTCTGTGCTTCCCCACTGGCACTCGCACTAGACTAGAGCCTTCAGGGTTCTGCCCAATTACAACTTTTCTTTTTTGTTAATTTTTAATTTTTTTAAAGATTTTACTTATTTATTTGAAAGTAGAGTTAGAGAGAGAAGGAGAGGCAGAGAGAGCGAGAGAGGTCTTCCATCCTCTGGTTCACTCCCCAGATGGCCGCAACAGCTGGAACTGTGCTAATCCAAATCCAGAAGCCAGGAGCTTCTTCCAGGTCTCCCACACAGGTGCAAGGGCCCAAGCACTTGGGCCATCCTCCACTGCCTTCCCAGGCCACAGCAGAGAGCTGGATCGGAAGAGGAGCAATCGGGACAGAACCCGGTGCCCATATGGGGTGCTGGAGCTGCAGGCGGAGGATTAACTCAGTGGCCACGGCACCGGCCCCACAACTTTACTTAGCATTGCAATTTGTCCTTTGTTTCAAGCTAGGGTGTAGACACTCGATACTTGGCTATACACTCATTTTTGGAAAAAAAAAAAAAAAAAACCACTAAGTATTAGAGATAAGATCCACTGAAAGAGTGGTGACGAAAAGCACCAAGCTCTGACAGACCTGGTTCCCACACCACTCTCACCACTCTGCCACTGCTGAGGGTCACAGGCCAAGCATCGCAATGCGCCAAGCCTTGGTTTACTTGTACATAGCATGGGAACACTAACTCCCAGGATTAAGTAACGTAAGGAAAGGACTTATCCACCAGGCGAACGACTCACTGTAAACATTGGAAGTGCTCCTGTGAACAAAACATCAACAGGACAAGCACAGGCAGTAAGAAACGCTGAGGTTCAGGACCCGTCACGTTTTATCAAACTCCAAGTCTCATTTTTATAAGCAAATACATGCTACCAGAATTTGTGATGAACACCCTGGGCGACGGCAAAGTGCTTCAGTATTTTCTCTGATCAGCAGTAGTACTCCGAAAGCAAAGATCCCACGGCCATGGCAGACACTAAAATAATTACGGGGGCCTTTGGCTCGGAGGCTCCGGCACCGCTCAGGACGCCCACACCGAGGAAAGCCCCCTTTCCGATCCCAGCTTCCTGCTGGTGAACACCCTGGGAGGGCCACAGGTGACGGCTCCAGGACTGGGTCACAGGATCCCCGGCTGTAGCCTGCGCCCAGCCCTTGTGTTGCAGGTATCTGAGGAGTGAATAGTAGCACATGAAAGACCTCTCTGTCTATACCTGCTTTCTGTGACTGCCTCTCTGCCTATCAAATAAAATGAAAACTTTTTAAGTAACAAGACAATATTTTGTGCAACTTCTTACCAAGAAATTGGCAATCTAGGTGAAATACACAATTTTCTAGGAAAATAAGAATTCTAAAATTGACTCAACAAAACAAACAAAACCAAAAAATTAAAACCATAGAAGAGACGGAAAGATGATCAAAGACCTGGCTCTAAAAATATCAGCTCAGGGGCCGGTGCTGTGGTATAGCGGGTAAAGCCGCCGCCTGCAGTGCCAGCATCCCATATGGGCACCAGTTCGAGTCCCGGCTGCTCCACTTCCGATCCAGCTCTCTGCTGTGGCCTGGGAAAACAGTAGAAGACAGCCCAAGTCCTTGGACCCCTGCATCCACATGGGAGACCCAGAAGAAGCTCCTGGCTTCTGGCTTTGGATCCACAAACCTCTGGCCGTTGCGGCCAACTGGCAAGTGAACCAACAGATGGAAGACCGACTGACTACTCTCTCTCTGACTTACAAACAAATCTTTTTTGAAAAAAAGTTAGTTTGGGCCAGCGCCGTGGCTCACTAGGCTAATCCTCCACCTTGCGGCGCCGGCACACCGGGTTCTAGTCCAGGTCGGGGCGCCGGATTCTGTCCCGGTTGCCCCTCTTCCAGGCCAGCTCTCTGCTGTGGCCAGGGAGTGTAGGGGAGGATGGCCCAAGTGCTTGGGCCCTGCACCCCATGGGAGACCAGGAGAAGCACCTGGCTCCTGCCATCGATTGGATCAGCGCGGTGCGCCGGCTGCAGAGCGCCAGCCGCGGCGGCCATTGGAGGGTGAACCAACGGCAAAGGAAGACCTTTCTGTCTCTCTCTCTCACTGTCCACTCTGCCTGTCAAAAAAAAAAAAAAAGTTCAACAGTGTTTTGCAGGCACATTCTAGAACTTTCAAAGAATAAAGACCTGGGGCCAGCACCGTGGCATAGCGGGTAAAGCCGCCGCCTGCAGTGCCAGCATCCCATCTGGGTGCCTGTTCGAGACCTGGCTGCTCCACTTCCAATCCAGCTCTCTTCTATGGCCTGGGAAAGCAGTGGAAGATGGCCCAAGTCCTTGGGCCCCTGCACCCACGTGGGAGACCTGGAGGAAGCTCCTGGCTCCTGGCTTCAGATCAGCCCAGTTCCAGCCGTTGCGGCTAAGTGGGGTGTGAACCAATGGATGGAAGACCCCCCCTCCCTGCCTCTACCTAACTCTGCCTTTCAAATAAATTAATAAATCTTAAAATAAAGAAAAAGACCTTGATATTTACTACTCAATCTATTAGCAGGGGGAAAAGTTGGGAATCTTCTAGAAGCATTTATAAAACCAGCCTAACCCTAACATCAAAGAAAGGCAGGAAAAAGCAGCTGTGAACCAACCTTCCACAGGAGAGAAACCACACAGAACTCAGTGCAATGCAGCCAGCAGCCCAAACAACATTCACAGGCAAGTAGTCTATTCTACAAATGTGGAAGTATTTCAGCTCAGCCTACACATATAAATATAGTCCATGTACCCACGAAGAGATCAAAGAGCACAGGGTGATTACCAGACGGCAGAAGCGCACGCGGCAACACGCGGCAACGTCAGCGGAGCAGCAGGCAGCAGCCCAAGGACGCGTCCGCCCGAGTGGGGCGAGGCAGGACGGCTGCGTGGCCCAGCTCCCCCGCGTCCTCACAACCACATGCTGGGAGATAATGTCCACGCTGGCCTGTATCTCAGAGCAACAGGAGACAACCCTGAAAAACTGTTAGCATTAACAAATCCTAGTGCTAGGAAACAGCATCAATGTTTTAAAATCCACAGCTTATCTTTCTACCAGCACAAGCAGGGAGAGCATTAAATGAAAGACCTCATTCACAACAATGTTTAGAGAGCAAGGTTCACCCTGATTTGTCACTTTTTTCCTGAGACAAGAGTACAGATTTATGGTATCTTTTAAAACATCCCTTGATTTGTTCAACAGGCAGAGTGTCACAAAGAGAGAGCGACAGGGAGAGAGACGGATCTTCCACCCAGTGGTTCACTCCCCAAGGCCTACAACAGTGAGGGCTGGGCCAGGCTGCAGCCAGGAGCCGGGAGTGCCGCTCCAGGCAGGGACCCAAGGACCTCAGCCATCACTTATGGCCTCTCCAGGCCCACTGCAGGGAAGCCGCAGCAGAAGCGGAGTAGCCAGGACGCGAACCGCGCTCGTGCGGGATGCAGGCCTCCGAGCACCAGCACCCCAGGTGTAGGGCACCTGTAGTCTCCCAAGGACTCAGTGTGAAGTCAGCACTGCAAGGCAGCTTGCCCAACTCCTCCGGTGCAGAACCGCAGCCAGCCACACAGTCAGCCTGGACGCTGAAGGCTGGTGGCCTCAACACAGAACCGGCTTGTCTGGATGATATTAAGCACATAAACGGTGATGCAGTCTGTGGGTAACAAGCTAGATTTCTTCACATTGCAGTAATTATGTTGCTAGAAAACGGCAGTACTAAACAGGCAGTATCAGAATGGAATCCACTTCTTTATTTTGCATCATAATCCACATTGGAGGTGTTAACTTCCACTTGATTGAGAGAAACAAGAGTGCCAGGCCGGAGGGGACGCGCAGCAGGAAGAGCCCTTAAAGACCCAGCACAGGGGAGGCGTCCCTGAAGTCCCTTCCCACAACGCCTCGGCTCTGCGGTGTCAGGGAGAACAGAGCTACAGGCACAGCACCGACCGGGGAGACTCGGCAGAAGGGAGGGGCGCGAGCCCTCAGGGGCCGACAGAGCCCGCGCGTCAGGGCCAAGCACACACTTGCATTCCGGTAAGGGGACAAACATCGCCAAGATGACAAATGCACAACCTGCAACCAGGTGGAAGGACAGCTACTTTCTACCTAAAAGCCGGCCGGACGCAGCTCGCTCTCACCCCCCAAAGCTTGGTGAAGAGGTAACAATCAGCTGCCCAGGGCAGGGGAGGAATCCAGGGGACCCTGAGTCGTGGCATCACTCATTCACCGGACACAGGTGAGCGCCTGCTGTGAAGGAGGACACAGGTGAGCGCCTGCTGTGCACAGGCACTGGCAGCACCGTGAAATTAACACACTCCCTGGAGAGCGCGTGTCCAACATCTCAGGGGAGGCGCTTGGCTGAGAACTGGTGAGAACTGGTGAGAACTGGTGAGAACTGGTAACGCTCGACCCATTCCAGAGCGCAGTGCTGAGCCCACGATCGGCAAACAATTCCAGAGGCCGCCCTACATCCCCCCGGCTGCTCCTCAGGCCGACGTGCACCCAACACGGCCCCAGTCTCCAAGGATTACCTAAGCGAGACCCCCTGGAGGGACAGGCGCGCACGACGCGGGAGGCCCCGGCTCCGCCATCTTCCCTGCCATTTCCACCCGGCAGCGCCTCCCAGGTTCAGTTTCCTCTTGCGGAAAATCTTGATGAAAAAGAAAAAAGTACAGTCAGCTTGGGCATCTGAAGAAGCACTGCCTATGCCTGCGCTAAAGTCAGCAGGAAGCACCAAAATACACCCTGTTCTTACATAACGCCAGTCGCCGCAGCAACAAGGCCAGCAGGTGGCCCGCGGTCCCCACTGTGTCACCTGGGTAGCCGGTGACAGCCCTGGGGGGAAAAGGCCAGCTGGCCGACTCCTCACTCAAACGCCACCCCCCTCCCATTCCCCAGCTTTCTTGCGCGCAGAACTTGGCCAAGTCCGTGGGAATAGGAAAACACTGATTTTACTGCAAGGAGGCTTTGAAGCCCACGCGCGGGTCTCCTGTCACACGCAGCCTCCGTGAGCTGTGTGCGGGACTCTGGCTAGGCGTGGATCTCAGGCTACTGCCCCGCACCGCTGCCCAGGAGCTCTGCGAGGGGCCGAGAGTACCCGCGTGGGTCTCCCCCGGCCTCCGCGCCCCTCTCTCTCCCCGCGCTGCCCGCCGCACCACGCACGCGCTGGGCACCTTCTGCGTGCGGGCTCCGCGTCGGGGGGGGGGGGGCCCGCGAGGCCGGCGTCACGGGTAACACGCGTTTTCCACGCGCGTGGCGCGTCTGCTCCAGGAGGCATCGGGTAATGAGTGGGAGGGCCCGGCCGCGAGACGGGAGGCGCACACGCAGGGCGCGCCCCGCCGAGCGCTCCGCCCTCCGAGGTCCCGAAACGCGCCCCAAAAACACGAGTGGCGGGGCCGGGTCCCCTCAGCGCCGGGAGCCCACGCGCCCCCGCCCCGAACGCCCGCACCGCGAGCCCCGCAGGCTCACCCCCGGCTCTGCCGCCCAGCCCGGCCCCTGCCCCGCCGCCGACCGACGGAGGCCGAGTGGGTCGGGGTCCGCTCGCGGGGCGGCCGCGCGTGCGGCTCAGTCCGGGGACCCCGCGGGCCGCGCGGCGACTGCAGCCCGGGGAGCGGCCCCGGCGGCGTCCGGGAGGCGCGGGAGGATGCGGGCGCCCGGACACGCATCCCTCCGCCCCTCGGTCCTGCCGACAAGAGGGCCGCAGCGCGCCCGGCCCTCACGCGGGGCCGCGGAGACAGCTGACTGGAAAGCCCCGGATACCCCGCCGCCGCCCACCTGAGACCCGTTAGGCTGGACCGCAGGCCCGCGTTTCTAAGGGAACCCGCGTCACGTGACGCGCGCGAGCGCCCAATCGCGTCTCGCCACCGCCCGCCGCGCCCCGCCCCGCGGAGGAGAGTCGCGCCTGCGCGCCGAGGGGGCGGGCGCCGGCCTCGCGCATGCGCGGAGCCCCCCGAGCCGCGCGGCCGGCCACGCCCCGGGGCGGAAGCGGGAAGTGAGTCGGCAGCGGCGGCTCGCAGCGGTCGGGGCGGCGCCGCGGAGGCTCGAGGGCGGCGGGCGGCGGCGATGTCGAAGAACACGGTGTCGTCGGCGCGGTTCCGGAAGGTGGACGTGGATGAGTACGACGAGAACAAGTTCGTGGACGAGGAAGACGGCGGCGACGGCCAGGCGGGGCCGGACGAGGGCGAGGTGGACTCGTGCCTGCGGCAATATCCTTGCGGCGGGGCCCGGGGCGGGGCGGCGGGGGTGTGCGTGGGTGTGCGCGGAGCCCCGGGAGTGCGCGGAGCCGGCAGGCGGACGCCGAGCCCCTGGGAGTGCGCGGAGCCCCGCGGGCGGACGCCGAGCCCCCGGGAGTGCGTGGAGTCTCTGGGAGTGCGTGGAGCCCCGGGAGTGCGCGGAGCCCCGCGGGCGGACGCCGAGCCCCCGGGAGTGCGTGGAGTCTCTGGGAGTGCGTGGAGCCCCGGGAGTGCGCGGAGCCGGCAGGCGGACGCCGAGACCCCGGGAGTGCGTGGAGCCCCGGGAGTGCGCGGAGCCCCAGGAGTGCGCGGAGCCCGCGGGCGTGTGCGCGGAGCCCCGGGAGTGCGGGCCGGGCGTTCGCGGGAAGCCGCTGTCCGGCAGTGCCTGCTGCCCTGGGCGTGTCTGAGCAGCCGTGACCGGGTCCGCGTTTGCACCGGATCCGTGGGGGACACGGGGGCGCTGGCAGGAGCCGCCGCGGCGCCCGCGCCCCGCGGCGGTGCGTGGGGACCGCTCGGGCCCGCGTCCTGCCGTGGCGGCCGTGTGAGGGCCTGGGGCTGTGCAGCCTGGACCCCGCGGCGCCGTGGGCCCGCTGGGTGGGCCCCGGAAGCCAGAGGCCGGCTGCAGCGATGGCGAGGGAGGGGCTGCGGCCGGGGCTTCTCCTTTTAGGGGAATGGCTGTGCCTTCCGCTGGCCTGATTGGCCCGCTTCCGTGCCTGCTCCCTGCTCCCTGGCGCCTTCGCGGACTGCTAGGTGTGGCCTCCAGGAAATGGAGCCGTCCACCGTCCACCCGAGAGCCGGGGCGTCGCCGCGCAGCGAGGCCGAGGTGTGTCTTTGTGCGCCCACGTAGCGCCGCGGGAGATGGCGGCTTCCCGGAGACCTGAGGGCGTGGGATCCTGACGTGCGTTTCGGGTCTCGGCACCTCTGCAGTCTGCCGAAGGTGTCCCGTGAGGGCAGCGTTACCAGGCGATCTCTGATGGTGCGAACCAAAAATAGCCCCCCAGTGCGCTGTTACCTTTGGTCGGCACCCCGAGGGCGTTTCTGAGTCCCGAGAAGCACCGTTCCCAGGGGCTGGCCGCTGCCCTCGGCTGCCCCCGGCTGCCCCCGCTGTTGCCCCTTAACCGCCAGCACAGGGAACATGACAGCCGCCCTGCAGGCGGCGCTGAAGAACCCTCCCATCAACACCAGGAGCCAGGCGGTGAAGGTGAGTGCCACCCACCCGGCCACACAACCGGCCGGCCAGCTGGGGGCCGTCCGACACAGGAGGGCTCAGGGCGCGCTTTGATGGGGCTGGAAACGGCGGCCAGCCCAGCAGCCCGCTGCTCCACTTCCGTCCAGCCCCCTGCTGAGGGCCCGGCACGGCGCGGAGGGTGGCCCCAGGGCTTGGGCCCCTGCTCCCACACGGGAGACCAGGGAGAAGCTCCGGCTTCAGATGGGTCCAGCTGCGGCTCTTGCCGCCATTCGGGGAGGGAGCCAGCGGGTGGAAGATCTCTCTCCCTCTCTCCCTGCCTTTCAAATAAATAGACCTTTTTAAAAAAAGAAAAAGAAGATTTAAGAAAACAGCACCCTGGCCGACTTCGGAGAACGCGTGTTCTGGACGCGGGAAGTTCTGCGTGGGGGAACCATTCCTGTGGCGTTCAGAGGGCCCTCGGGCTGGATCTAGGCAAAGGCTTTGAGACAAAAAACTGGCACAAAAACGAACAGGTTCCATAGGCCAGGCGCGGCACTTAGCTGTCAACGTCCAGGCCCTGGCTCCTGCTGACGGTCACCCTAGGAGGCCGCTGATGGCCACAGCGCCTGGCTTTGTCCCACCCCAGTGCCAGCAGATGGGACTTCTCTCTGTGCCCCTCTCTCCGTCTCTCTCTTGCTTAGTTATATGAATATTCAGCAGAAGCCAGGCAGTGGTAAAAGTGACTACCTTCTGGGGCTACCCTATGTTTATAGGATTTTTCTGTGAGTGTTTTTTCGAGGAGAAGCTTTATAGCTTCGCTCCTCTGTGTAGCGATGGACGTGAGCGTTTTCCTTAGCAGCGGGTTTGTTTCTGTAGCGTTGACCAGCTCTGTGCTGCAGAACCTACGCACCTAGTCTCCTCTTGTCACATACCTGGATGGAGTGGCTCTTCCCTGGTGAAGTTCCCAGCTGAGCACATTCTCGTGGCTGATCCTTGGAATGGACTCCAGAGTGAATTGCTGGCTGCAGCCGTGTCCCTTTGCGTCTTCCGTCCCCTGCAGCCGTGTTTCACTAAATAAGAACCGGTCTCTCGGGTGCTTAGTGGTTAGAACCAAGTCCAGCGCATCACCCCCAGGGCAGTGGCTACTCAGAGCCTCAGGAGTCTCCCTAATTAAATGAAAGTTGGCAGGAACAGGCAGGTGCATGTGAATTGTCGAGGCGACGGTTTTTTTAAGGGGAAGCGTTGCTTTGGGTTTAGAAGTTGCCGGGAGCATTACTGAAATTTCCATTTCGACACCTTCTGCTTTCGTGTGGGTGGTTTCATCACGGCCTGGGGGCGGCAGCTTGTAGCTGATGAAGATGGCTGTGTGAGTGGGGCAGCTGCACAGGCCGAGCTGCAGGGAGCAGTAGGCGGTAGAAACGTCCTGTAAGAACCCGGACGCGAGGCGGCCCCAGGGGCCGCTTTGTGTGACAGGGGAGGCGGGCGCTCCTTAGGAGTCCCTGTGTGTGACGGGAGGAGGTGACCTTAGATGTGCTGTGTGTGACAGGGGAGGAGGTGACCTTAGATGTCCTGTGTGACAGGGGAGGTGACCTTAGATGTGCTGTGTGTGACAGGGGAGGAGGTGACCTTAGATGTGCTGTGTGTGACAGGGGAGGAGGTGACCTTAGATGTGCTGTGTGTGACAGGGGAGGAGGTGACCTTAGATGTGCTGTGTGTGACAGGGGAGGAGGTGACCTTAGATGTGCTGTGTGTTACAGGGGAGGAGGTGACCTTAGATGTGCTGTGTGTGACAGGGGAGGAGGTGACCTTAGATGTGCTGTGTGTGACAGGGGAGGAGGTGACCTTAGATGTGCTGTGTGTGACAGGGGAGGAGGTGACCTTAGATGTGCTGTGTGTGACAGGGGAGGAGGTGACCTTAGATGTGCTGTGTGTGACAGGGGAGGAGGTGACCTTAGATGTGCTGTGTGTGACAGGGGAGGAGGTGACCTTAGATGTGCTGTGTGTGACAGGGGAGGAGGTGACTTAGATGTGCTGTGTGTGACAGGGGAGGAGGTGACCTTAGATGTGCTGTGTGTGACAGGGGAGGAGGTGACCTTAGATGTGCTGTGTGTGACAGGGGAGGAGGTGACCTTAGATGTGCTGTGTGTGACAGGGGAGGAGGTGACCTTAGATGTGCTGTGTGTGACAGGGGAGGAGGTGACCTTAGATGTGCTGTGTGTGACAGGGGAGGAGGTGACCTTAGATGTCCTGTGTGACAGTGGAGGTGACCTTAGATGTCCTGTGTGTGACAGGGGAGAAGGTGACCTTAGATGTGCTGTGTGTGACAGGGGAGAAGGTGACCTTAGATGTCCTGTGTGACAGTGGAGGAGAGCAGAAGGTGGCTTTTGGAGCAGCTTTTCCAGAAAACACGGCTGCGTAATGAACGCCATTGTACCTCGCGTGACTAGCGGCTACGGGCCGTGAGACAGTCTCTTAAAGTTTCAAAATAAGGAAGTGTTTAAAGTATTTCTGGGGGCTGGCGCTGTGGCTCACTTGGCTAATCCTCTGCCTACAGTGCCGGCATCCCATATGGGCGCCAAGTTCTAGTCCTGGTTGCCCCTCTTCCAGGCCAGCTCTCGGCTGTGGCCCGGGAGTGCAGTGGAGGATGGCCCAGGTGCTTGGGGCATGCACCCGCATGGGAGACCAGGAGAAGTACCTGGCTCCTGCCTTCGGATCAGCGCAGCGTGCCGGCCGTGGCGGCCATTTGGGGGGTGAACCAACAGAAGGAGGACCTTTCTCTCTGTCTCTCTCACTGTCTGTATCTGTCCAAAAAAAAAAAGTATTTCTGAAAGATGATTCAAGGAAGAATTGCAAATCAGTTTTCTTGTTGTGTTTTCGTTGAGATAAAATGCAGTTGATGTTTTAATAAATTGTCAGATCGCTGTGGGCTCTGCCTGTGGACTGTCTACCCTCGGGCCCTGCAGTGCTAAGCGACACAGCCTGTCCACCCTGTCTGCCCTCGCTCCCGCCAGCTCTCCCTGCTCCTGCCGGTGCTCTCAGACCCTCCTTGTTCTCGGGGGGGGGGGGGGGGGCGCCGGTCCCATGAGCCTCCTCTCCGCGCCCCTCTGGCTCCCCGCTGCGGTTCTGCCGTAGGCCCTGGGCACACTGGCAGCACGCGCCCCCTCTGGGCCTGACTGCTTTCCTGAGACACCGCGCTGTCCTGTTCCCGCCTGCGGGCCTCCGCCCGGGCTCCCCTCCCCAGCACGGCCCCCCCTGCGCAGGTGCAGCCGCACACTCAGGAGTCGCGCTGTTGCCTCGTGTGTTCCCCCAGGACCGGGCAGGCAGCATTGTGCTGAAGGTGCTCATCTCCTTCAAGGCCGGCGACATAGAAAAGGCCGTGCAGTCCCTGGACAGGAACGGCGTGGACCTGCTCATGAAGTACATCTACAAGGGCTTCGAGAGCCCCTCCGACAACAGCAGCGCCGTGCTCCTGCAGTGGCACGAGAAGGTGAGCCCCGCCCGTCCGCGCAGGCCCGTGCTCGGCCGTGCACCTGCGCACTGCCAGTGACGTCCGTCAGGGTGGGAATGAGAGTGAGGCGTCCTAGCCTGGCCTTCTCTCAGCACCGGGGTCTGATTTCCACACTTAAATTTATCCAGCAAACATAATCCTGAAGTTTGAAATCTTAAAACTTTGTGAAAGAAAGAAAGCAAGCAGTAGAAACCATGAAGTGTTTCCCCTGACTGTGGTGGGTACAGCCCAGGGCGCGTCAGCAGAGGAAGCGTCTGTCCACGCGGGGGATGGATGCCATGATGACGGCTGAGTGCCCGAGGCGCGTCTGTCCACGCGGGGGGTGGACGCCATGATGAGGGCTGAGTGCCCGGGGCGTGTCTGTCCACGCGGAGGGGTGGACGCCATGATGAGGGCTGAGTGCCCGGGGCGTGTCTGTCCACGCGGAGGGGTGGACGCCATGATGAGGGCTGAGTGCCCGGGGTGCGTCTGTCCACGCAGGGGGGTGAACGCCATGATGAGGGCTGAGTGCCCAGGGCGCGTCTGTCCACACAGAGGGGTGGGCGCCATGAGGGCTGAGTGCCCTGGGCACGTCTGTCCACGCGGTGGAGTGGACACCATGAGGGCTGAGTGCCCTGGGCACGTCTGTCCACGCGGTGGAGTGGACACCATGAGGGCTGAGTGCCCGGGGCACGTCTGTCCACGCGGTGGGTGGGCGCCATGATGAGGGCTGAGTGCCCGGGGCGCGTCTGTCCACGCAGGGAGTGGACACCATGAGGGCTGAGTGCCCGGGGCACGTCTGTCCACACGGGGGGTGGACGCCATGAGGGCTGAGTGCCCGGGCGCGTCTGTCCACGCGGGGGGGTGGACGCCATGATGAGGGGTGGACACCATGATGAGGGCTGAGTGCCCGGGCGCGTCTGTCCACGCGGGGGGTGGGCGCCATGAGGGCTGAGTGCCCGGGGCGCGTCTGTCCACGCGGGGGGTGGACGCCATGAGGGCTGAGTGCCCGGGGCACGTCTGTCCACGCGGGGGGTGGACGCCATGAGGGCTGAGTGCCCGGGACGCGTCTGTCCACGCAGGGGGTGGGCGCCATGAGGGCTGAGTGCCCGGGACGCGTCTGTCCACATGGAGGGGTGGACACCATGATGAGGGCTGAGTGCCCAGAGCGCGTCTGTCCACGCGGGGGGTGGACGCCATGAGGGCTGAGTGCCCAGGGCACGTCTGTCCACATGGAGGGGTGGACACCATGATGAGGGCTGAGTGCCCAGAGCGCGTCTGTCCACGCGGGGGGTGGACGCCATGAGGGCTGAGTGCCCAGGGCACGTCTGTCCACATGGAGGGGTGGACACCATGATGAGGGCTGAGTGCCCGGGCGCGTCTGTCCACGCGGGGGGTGGACGCCATGAGGGCTGAGTGCCCGGGGCGCGTCTGTCCACGCGGGGGGTGGACGCCATGAGGGCTGAGTGCCCGGGACGCGTCTGTCCACGCAGGGGGTGGGCGCCATGAGGGCTGAGTGCCCGGGACGCGTCTGTCCACATGGAGGGGTGGACACCATGATGAGGGCTGAGTGCCCAGAGCGCGTCTGTCCACATGGAGGGGTGGACACCATGATGAGGGCTGAGTGCCCAGAGCGCGTCTGTCCACGCGGGGGGTGGACGCCATGAGGGCTGAGTGCCCAGGGCACGTCTGTCCACATGGAGGGGTGGACACCATGATGAGGGCTGAGTGCCCAGAGCGCGTCTGTCCACGCGGGGGGTGGACGCCATGAGGGCTGAGTGCCCAGGGCACGTCTGTCCACATGGAGGGGTGGACACCATGATGAGGGCTGAGTGCCCGGGCGCGTCTGTCCACGCGGGGGGGGTGGACGCCATGATGAGGGGTGGACACCATGATGAGGGCTGAGTGCCCGGGCGCGTCTGTCCACACGGGGGGTGGACGCCATGAGGGCTGAGTGCCGGGCGCGTCTGTCCACGCGGGGGGTGGACGCCATGAGGGCTGAGTGCCGGGCGCGTCAGCAGAGGGAGCGTCAGCACCAGGAGCGGCAGACGGCATTAGGGGTTGTGGCTCCCCGGGAGTCCTGTTTGGGTTCATGGTCGATCGTGGTAACGGCTGCACAGCGTTGTGAATGGAGTTAATGGCACCAAACTTTACAGTGAAGGATTTGTCAAATGGCACATTCTATGTTTATATGAGGGGAAATGTATTATAAAGCTATGCGTAGACTTAAAATTTTTATATTTCCATTCATTTTCCATGAGTTCCTGAAATTCGCTCTTTTACCACAATTTCATTTTTAAAAAGGAAATCAGAGGAAAAAAACTTAGTCCTTCTTTCCATTTTCATGTATTTTTCAATGTCAGCAGATGCTGGCAACACCATTCATCAAAGATAAAAATGGAGTTTCGAGTTTTGGGTTAAAAGCTGATAAGGTGATCTTTAATTCCCAACGCATGTCGCACTGATACAAGTAGGAACAGTAACACTTAGCTAGAACTCTCTGCAGCCTCACGATTCCCCAGACTTGGTTTATGTGAGACAGTGGGGCGTCCATCTGCAGCGTGTAGGGGAACACACACAAGAAGTGAAGATGGGCGGTGAGGCCGCCCGTCCCGGGCAGGTTGCCCTCTCCGCGGGGGCTTGTGGGCGCCCTCAAGCACAGGGCCTGTGGGTATGGTCAGAGCGCGGGGGCTTGTGGGCGCCGCCCGAGTCCTCAGTGCCCCGCATCGGCCCTCCAGGGCCGATGGAGAGTAGCTCCACCCTTGCCCTGTGAGACACCGGATGGGGTGGCAGTTTTTGTTTTTGTTGTCGGTCATCCTGTTCACGGAGCCTTTCTGACGCCAAGGCCCACCCTTGTCTGTCCGCGCCCCGTGCCTGTCCACACTCTGTGCCTGTCCGCACTCCGTGCCTGTCCGTCTCCGCCGAATCCCCGCAGGAGCCCTGTGAGGTGTGAGATCTCCCTGTCACCGGCAGTTACCCGTGGGAAGCTGCCAGGGCAGCTCTGGAGCCCGCGTGGCCGGTTCCGGCATCGGCCAGGGCCACAGTGACGCTTGAGTGGCCGCTGTTCCCTCTGGGAGCCCCAGCACCTGGCCCGGACGCAGAGGGCTCGGTAATCCTCGCTCGCTCACAGAAGCGCTGGAGGGTGAGCTGGCCGTTCTCTCCCTCGGAGGTGGGGAGCGGAGGCACGCGCCATCTTGTCGCCCATGCACGTGCCTGCCTGGCTGCCCACCTGCCGGCCTGCCTCCCCCATGCGCGTTCTTTGACAGCCCCATCTGCCCCCAGCAGTCCCACGTCTCGCCCCGCCCCCGCGCTGCTCTGCACTGCCGCTCAGTGCCTGCGCGGGTGTCAGCCCGCTCGTCCACCGCAGCCTGGAGCTCCCCTGTGCTGTGCTTTCACGCCTCCCGGCGTAACCCGTCTGCTGAGTTAGGGTGAATGGGTAAGCGACCGCAGACCAGGAGGTGCCGCTCTGCTCGCTCTTGGAGCCCCAGCACCTGGCCCAGGACGCGGGGTGCTCACCCAGGACTGGGGGACAGAGGTGGGCCGGAGCTTCCAGTCCACGAAGGAGAGGTTTTCCGGGTCCCAGGCCCCCAGGTGCTCACCTGGTAGACGCCTTCTTGCCTTGGGAGAAACCCTGGCCGGCCAACCCGTCAGAATGGAGGCTGGGGTACTGCTTGGTCCTGGGGGTTGAGAGTGAGGGGTCAGGAGCTATGAGTTGATAGCGGAGCACCTGCTGCAGGTGTCAGAAACAAGACGAGCGGGTGCCCTGGGCTTGGAAGACATGCGCAGAGCGCGCCGGTGTGATGGCCTCAGCCGCTGGCCACAGGCGCTCCTGCCGTCAGCAGGCCTGGCCGTCGGACCCGACGCCGTGCCGTGCCGTGCCGTGCCGTGCCGTCAACCTCTGCATTTCACTTTGTTTTAGGCGCTGGCTGCAGGAGGAGTGGGCTCCATCGTCCGTGTCCTGACCGCAAGGAAAACCGTGTAGCCTGGCAGGAACGGGTGCCTGCCGGGGAGCGGGAGCTGCCGGTACAAAGACCAAAACGCCCAGACGCCGCCGCTGCCCTGTGGGCGGCGTCTGTTCCCAGCTTCGCTTTTTCCCTTTCCCGTGTCTGTCAGGATTACATAAGGTTTCCCTTCGTGAGAATCGGAGTGGCGCAGAGGGTCCTGTTCACACGCGCCGTGCGTCCGGCTGTGTAAGACCCCTGCCTTCAGTGTCCTTGAGCAACGGTAGCGTGTCGCCGGCTGGGTTTGGTTTTGTCGTGGAGGGATCTGGTCAGAATTTGAGGCCAGTTTCCTAACTCATTGCTGGTCAGGAAATGATCTTCATTTAAAAAAAAAAAAAAAAAAGACTGGCAGCTATTATGCAAAACTGGACCCTCTTCCCTTATTTAAGCAGAGTGAGTTTCTGGAACCAGTGGTGCCCCCCCCCCCCCGCCCCGGCCGCCGTCCTGCTCAAGGGAAGCCTCCCTGCAGAGCAGCAGAGCCCCTGGGCAGGAGCGCCGCGTCCCGCTCCCAGGAGACAGCGTGCGTGGTCACGCCGGCACTTCCTGTGCCTCCCAGGAGACAGCATGCGCGGTCACGCCGGCACTTCCTGTGCCTCCCAGCCCCAGTGCCCCGGAGTTCTTCAGGGCGACAGGGACCTCAGAAGACTGGATCCGATCCAGACAGACGCCCATTCTCGGTTCAGCTCAGTGTTTTCAAAAGGAACGTGCTACCGTGGGTAGAGCACACTGGTTCTCAGAACACGGCCGGCGCTTGACGGTTGTCACAGCTCCAGAACAAATCCTGGGAGACAGGCGAGCGCGAGTCGCCGGGCAGGAATTCCACACACTCGTGCTGTTTTTGATACCTGCTTTTTGTTTTGTTTTGTAAAAATGATGAACTTGAGAAAATAAAACGTCAGTGTTGACTAATTTTTCTGTCACTTTAATATAAGGAACATGTTTAATTGGATTTCCTCCTCCTGCCGACAAGTGGAAATCCAGATAAGGACTGCTTGGTGGGTTCCCAAAGTCCCCCACATCAGGAGGCCTCGAGGTCAGGAGGGTGGAAGGCCGGGCCACAGGGGGCGGGGTCTCCCCAGCCTGTGGGCCCCTCCCTCTGACAGCTGTGTGCCTGCAGGGGCGGGGTCTCCCCAGGGTGTGGGCCCCTCCCTCTGACAGCTGTGTGCCTGCAGGGGCGGGGTCTCCCCAGCCTGTGGGCCCCTCCCTCTGGCAGCTGTGTGACTGCAGGGGTGGGGTCTCCTCCCCAGCCTGTGAGCCCCTCCCTCTGACAGCTGTGTGACTGCAGGGGTGGGGTCTCCTCCCCAGCCTGTGAGCCCCTCCCTCTGACAGCTGTGTGCCTGCAGGGGCGGGGTCTCCCCAGGGTGTGGGCCCCTCCCTCTGACAGCTGTGTGCCTGCAGGGGCGGGGTCTCCCCAGGGTGTGGGCCCCTCCCTCTGACAGCTGTGTGCCTGCAGGGGTGGGGTCTCCTCCCCAGCCTGTGAGCCCCTCCCTCTGACAGCTGTGCCTGCAGGGGCAGGGTTTCCTCCCCAGCCTGTGGGCCCCTCCCTCTGACAGCTGTGCCTGCAGGGGCGGGGTCTCCCCAGGGTGTGGGCCCCTCCCTCTGACAGCTGTGTGCCTGCAGGGGCGGGGTCTCCTCCCCAGCCTGTGGGCCCCTCCCTCTGACAGCTGTGTGCCTGCAGGGGCAGGGTCTCCCTGGGTGTGGGCCCCTCCCTCTGACAGCTGTGTGCCTGCAGGGGGCGGGGTCTCCCCAGGGTGTGGGCCCCCCCTCTGACAGCTGTGTGCCTGCAGGGGCGGGGTCTCCCCAGCCTGTGGGCCCCTCCCTCTGACAGCTGTGCCTGCAGGGGCAGGGTCTCCTCCCCAGCCTGTTGGTCCCTCCCTCTGACAGCTGTGTGCCTGCAGGGGCGGGGTCTCCCCAGCCTGTGGGCCCCTCCCTCTGACAGCTGTGTGCCTGCAGGGGCGGGGTCTCTGACCCTGTCTGCGCCCAGCAGCCTGTCCGCCAGCTGTGTCTGGCTAAATTCTCCCTGGAGAAGCTCCCAGCACGGACTCACGGTGCCGAGCCGCTGAAGTGAGAACAAGCGCAGGGCTGCGGGGCCGTGCGTGAGCTGGGCTCCACCTGCTGTGACGGGCAGGGCCGCTGGAAGCCGTGGGTCCCGGGGCAGGGTCCGCCCAGGCCCCTTTGGCCGACCTCCGGGGAGAGAGGGGACGGCAGTGAAAGGCGCGCCGTGGCGGGGCTGCTGCTGTGCCTCGCGGCCCCGTCTGAATCCAGGCGCGCCGTGGCGGGGCTGCTGCTGTGCCTCGCGGCCCGTCTGAATCCAGGGGTTCGCCCTTCCCTGAAGAGGGAAACTGTGTGTGTTGAGTATCCCGCAGCTGCACTATCTGGAGCCTTCGCGAGGCGACTGCGGGTCCCCTCTGCGCTCAGGCCCTGGTGGCCTCACAGAGAGCTGGGGAGCGCCCCGGAGGACCCGCGAGATGCTTCGTCCTGCCGCAGGGCTGTGCCGGCGGGAAGGCCACCCTCAGCCTGGGACCAGAGCCTCGGGTGCGTGCGGTTGTGAAAAATGGACTCATTCCACGCTCAGATAACACCTGGTTCCTAACACACCCGCCCGTCCATTCTCCACGCTGAGATGTTTTTACTTCAAAAACTTGTAAATCACGATTATGTGTCTCTACCTCCTGGGGCCCTTAGAAGAAAACCCAAAGCCTTAGCACGGCGCCTCTCCCAGCCCCTGCGCACTCAGTCCCCGCGCCGTGGCGCCATGGCACCGTGGCTCCCTGGCTCCCTCCGTGTGCCCGTGGCCCCGGCCCTGCACACGCTGTCTCCTCCCCTCCCATTCGTGGGTCTCCTCACTCCATTCACTCCGCAGGGGCCCTGGCGTAAACCGGGTCCCTTCCACCCCACCCCACCCCCTCAGTGGCTGCGCCTTTTCCCCGCGAGGAGCCGGCTATCCGTGCCACGCCTACACGGGGACGCTGTGCAGTGAGTGGACGGGGTGGCCGCGTCCAGTCCCCAGCACGTGCCTGGAGAGAAAAACCCTCAGACGGAAGGGCCAGGCCTGTGCTCGTGCCCCGCAGCTCGGAGCGAGGCACTCCAGAACCGAGCACTTAACTCACGAGAATCGCCCCTCCCCCCGTGGCTTGGTTGGGGACGCCGTGGCAGCACGGCCAGCAGCTCAGAGCTCAGATGTCAGCAAGAGCCACTGCTGAGGGTGCAGACCCCCGCCCAGCCAGCAAGCAGCCCTGCCACGGGGCGGCACGTGTGGCCTCGACACGGTGGCCGACTTCCACCGGAGCAAGCCTGGACATTCCAGTGGGAGCTGACACAGGGCACCGGCACTGAGAGGCGCCACAGCGGGGTGCGGGTAGCGGGAGGCCTGCAGACCCCAAGCACCGCAGAGCGCCGTGCAGGCGGTCCGCTGCCTCCTCCCTCAGCAGCAGCCACCACCCTGGGACTTCTGCCCCGTCCCAGAGGCCCTGAGGCCACCCCACTACCAGAAACGATCCCCCAAGGCAGGAGGCTGAGAGCTCACGGTGTGGGTGTGTGTGCTCACGGCGCTTTGCCAGGCGCCCCAGATCAAGGAGGGCCCCCGAGCAGGGTCAGGTGCACAGGGGCCGCGCCCGGCCACACCTTTGCCAGGGAGACAGCGCGGGTCTCGGGCGCCGCCCGTCTCGCAGCCCTCGGAAGCAGTACTGAGTCACGGGCTCCCACAGGGGCGTGGACACCCGGAGGTGGGGTCCACGGAGCCCAAAGCACCAGCCTTTCTGACCCCGGAGCTAACGCAAGCCCACTGTCAAACTACACCCTCAGAGATGGGGTGGCAGGCGCTGGAGCCCCAGGAACCCCACTTCACCTGCACATCCCGCCCCCCGGCCCGAGCACCACCCTGCAGGACACGGAGCTTCTGGCCGCGGGGTGCAAGAGGTGGAGTGAGAGCCCACGGACGCTCCGCTCCCCGGGGACAGGTGTGGCGGGGGCTCCCCCGTCTCCTCTTGTGACTGAAGAAGCAGGAGGCTGGGCGGGTACTGGCACGGCGGTCAAGGCGCAGACACCCACAGCCCACATAGGAGCGCGTGGTTATGTCCCGGGTCTGCTTCCCATGCAAGCTCCCGGCTGCTGCAACCCGGGGAGGCAGCAGGTGACGGCTCGAGTGCCTGGGCCCCTGCCAACCACAGGGGAGACCCAGATGGAGCTCCAGGCTCCTGCCTTGGCCTGGCCCAGCACCACCCGTTGCATGCATTTGGGGAGTGAATCAGCGATAGAAGATCACTCTCTCTCTCTCTTTCAAATAAGCACATTAAACACACACACACAGGCAGGAGACTGCGTCCGTCCCACAGCACAGTCACGGAGCCCCAGGACTGAGTCGGCAAACGATGGGCCCCTCAGCTGCAGTCCTCAGGCCCTGGACACAGCACTGGCCTCCTCCAGCCACGCCCCAGGGGACACAGAGGCAGAGACAACGGAGGCGCTCGGGAGCTGCACCCGGGAGGCCACCCTGTCCCCCACAGAGGCCTCCAGCGGGTTGACCTCATCTGTTGCAGGGTCCTGGCACTCGGTGTGGTTACGTCTTGTGCCCCCAGAAGAAGCGAGCTGTACACGGTGGGGGAAGGCAAAGGCCTCTCCCACACCTGTGTCAGTGGGAGGTGCGCGTGGGCACAAACGCACCATTCTCTGCAATGCACCCTTTGGCTTCCAGCAGCGCCGTGCTTACCACAAAACCGCATTTTCCAAGTCAAGGAATCACCTGTGCGTCCTGAGCGGACAGTTACAAAGATCAGCACAGGGCCGGCGCTGTGGCCCAGCGGTAAACCACCGCCCCCATGCAGTGCCGGCACCCCACATGGGCACAGGTTCAACCCCAGCTGCTCCACTTCCAATCCACTCCCTGCTAACGGCCTGGGGAAAGCAGCGGAAGATGGCCCAGGTGCTTGGGCCCCTGCACCCATGGGGGAGACATGGAGGAAGCTTCTGGCTTCAGCCTGGCCCAGACCTGGCCATGTGGCCATCCAGGGTGCGAACCAGTGGGTGGAAGACCTCTCTCTCTTTCTCTCTCTCACTCTCTCTCTCTGTAACTCTATCAAATAAGAAAATAAATCTTTTTTAAAAACTTTTAAAAACAATTTATTGGGCCGGCACCGTGGCTCAATAGGCTAATCCTCCACCTTGCAGCGCCGGCACACCGGGTTCTAGTCCCGGTCAGGGCGCCGGATTCTGTCCCGGTTGCCCCTCTTCCAGGCCAGCTCTCTGCTGTGGCCCAGGAGTACAGTGGAGGATGGCCCAAGTGCTTGGGCCCTGCATCCCATGGGAGACCAGGATAAGTTCCTGGCTCCTGGCTTCGGATCAGCGCAATGCGCCGGCCGCGGCGGCCATTGGAGGGTGAACCAACGGCAAAAGGAAGACCTTTCTCTCTGTCTCTCTCACTGTCCACTCTGCCTGTCAAGAAAAAAAAAAAAAAACTATTTATTTATCTTATTTGAAAGGCAGAGAGAGGGAGAGGTCTTCCATCCGCTGGTTCACTCCCCAAATCGCTGCAATGTCCAGCGCTGGGCTGACCCGAAGCCGGGAGCCAGGAGCTTCTTCCAGGTCTCCCACGTGGGTGCAGCGGCCCAAGCACCTGGGCCATCTCCCACTGCTTTTCCCAGGCCGTTAGCAGGGAGTGGATTGGAAGTGGAGCAGCCAGGACTCCAACTGGCGATCTTATGTGATGCCGGCACTGTAGGTGGCAGCTTTCCCTGCTACGCCATGGCACCAGCTCCATAAACAAATCTTTGAAAAACAGAAAGAAAAAAGAAAAGAGCAGGACAGTTAGGTCCAACCCCAGCCCTCTGCGGTTTTCATCGCGGGCGTCTCGTGGACACGGGGCTCCCGATTCTGCTCCCCCTCGGCCAGGGGGTTTGCTCCAGGGCCAAATGGGGAAGAGACCCACGCGACAGTGAGACGCGCTCACAGCCCTTTCACTTCCCCAGCCCTGAGTGTGACTCAGGGGACACCCAGGAGGACGGGGTGCGGGGCCGGGTGTCACACAGCACCCGTGATGCCTGCTGTGTGTCCCAAAAAGAGGAAGCATGAGCAAGTCTCCCGGGCCGGCCCCTCACCCACACTCCGGAACCGGGGACCCCGGCCCCCCGGCCCCTCACCCACACTCCGGAGCCGGGGACTCCCAGAAGGGGGATTGCCTTCTGCTCCAGGGTCTGGACCTGGCCTGGCCGAGGGCTGACTGGGGGATCCGTGGGCCCGAGGTAGCAGGTGTGTTCCCCAAGTTCATGGGCAGCAGATGAAGCTGATCAGCCTCTGCTTCCGCCTCCCCGGCTGGGTGCTGGGCAGGCAGAGGCGTGGCGCAATCGGCTGAGGGGCAGAACCCCGCGGGGCGACAACCACGGGAGGTGACCGGGCGGGCAGGTGCTGCCGTGTCACTCACAGTGACAGCACAGAAAACCCTGCTGAGAGCCTGTGGCTGGGGGAGGGCCGAGGGGCAAAGCAGCCGCTTGGGACGCCACACCCCACACATGAGAGGCTGCGTTAGCTCTGCCAAATCTGTGCTCTCAACCCAACTTCCTGCGGATGCGCCTGGAAGGCAGGAGGTGGCAGTCCAGGTCGCCGAGTCGTGCCACCCACGTGGGAGCCCGGACGGAGCGCCTGGCTCCTGGCTTCCGATCAGCCCAGCTCAGCCACTGTGGCCGTCTGAGGAGTGAACCAGCAGGTGGAAGACCTCTCTCTCCCTCTCCCTCTCCCTCTCCCTCTCCCTCTCCCTCTCCCTCTCCCTCTCCCTCTCCCTCCTCCCTCCTCCCTCCTCCCTCCTCCCTCCTCCCTCCTCCCTCCTCCCTCCTCCCTCCTCCCTCCTCCCTCCTCCCTCCTCCCTCCTCCCTCCTCCCTCCTCCCTCTCCCTCTCCCTCCTCCTCTCCCTCTCCCTCTCCCTCTCTCTTTAACTCTGCTCTCAAATAAATAAATGAATCTAAAAGAAGCAAGGGACCATTCTCTTTAATTAACCAAGAACCACTTTGTTAATCATCGCCTAGAACTGAGCAGAAAGCAGCTGATACTAAAAGCTAAGCACATGGGGCCGACGCTGTGGCGTAGTGGGTAAAGCTCCCGCCTACAGTGCCGGCATCCCATATGGATGCCGGTTCAAGTCCCAGCAGCTCCACTTCCGATCCAGCTCTCTGCTACAACCTGGGAAAGCAGTAGAAGATGGCCCAGGTCCTTGGGCCCCTGCACCAATGTGGGGAACCTGGAAGAAGCTCCAGGCTCCTGGCTTCGGATCGGTGCAGCTCCGGCCATTGCAGCCATCTACGGAGTGAACCAGCAGATGGAAGACCTCTCTCTCTCTCTCTCTCTCTCTCTCTGTAACTCTGCCTCTCAAATAAAAAATAAAAAGGAGGGCCAGGGCGGTGAATTTGGGTACAGGTGGCGGTGAGGACGCATACGAGGGAGCCCAAAGAGCTCACAGAAGTGCATGTTGCGTGCAAGTTGCACACGCGTTTTAAAACTGCTTCACCCCAAAATAAACTTCTGTCTTGACTCCAGTTTGCACGAACCTCCTGACACTCTTTGGGGTTCAGTTAGTGACCTGCTTGGGAGGCGGCCGCTTCGCTCTCCCCGCAGGCTTCTCAGGGCTGGGGTCAGTCGGGCCCGGGTTCAGTCCTGGGGGCCGGTGACCGAGCCCCTCGACCTGAGGCTGTGGGGCAGTCGGTCCCAGGGCTGCTGGCAGCTCGCCAGGTTTCCTCGCTGTAGGCGTCCACCATTTGTAGCCACAGTCTCAGGGCTGTTGCGCCCGCTTAGGGTTCTCCCGGGATCCGTCTTTTAGAAACTTCCCCTCTTGATAAAAATAATTCCTCGTGACACTGGGGCTGGTGATCCAGCTGCAGGAGTGGGCTGCGAACCCTCTGGCCCAGCTGGTCCACGCCCACGCATTTGTCCTGCCGTGTGGAACCGTGGGTGCCTGGGAACACGCACTGCCGCGTTGCCATGACAACACACAACAGGAGGCAGCCCGGCTGCTCGCAGGGAAAACCGCCCCGCGCACGAGCGCTGCTGAGTGGGGACCCCGAGGGCGCGGAGCGGCTGTTGGGGGGCAGGGCCCGGCTGCCTCTGAAGCCCTCTGCTCCAGAAGACGCCCAGTGAGCGACTGGAGGTGGCTTCTAGGGGTGGGAGGGGTCGGGCTGACGGAGGAAAACTTCCCAGATTTACTAACTTCTGACCCGTGTGAACTATTGCTCGTTCAGCTGAACTACAATGCAGCAATCCGGGGCCAGCGCTGTGGCACTCGGGTAAGTCCAGTCTGCGACACCAGCATCCCAGCATCCCGTACGGCGCCGGTTCGGGTCCGGCTGCTCCACTTCTGCTCCAGCTGCCTGCTAACGCCTGGGAAAGCAGTGGGGGATGCCCGAGAGCTTGGGCCCCGCACCCGCGTGGGAGACCCGGATGGAGCTCCAGGCTCCTGGCTTCGCCGGCCCAGCCCCAGCTGGTGCAGCCACTAGGGGGTGAGCCAGTGGAGAAAGTGCTCGCTCGCTCTCTCTCTCTCTCTCTCGCTCTCTCGCTCTCTCTCTGTAACTCTGCCTTTTAAGGAAATACATACATGAATCTTTATAAAAATCCAATAATTGTGAAATGCAAGGCCTGCCTACTGCCTCACCCTCTCTTGGCCATCAGTGGAAACGCAGCTGGGGTGGGTTTGATGCTTCCGCCGAGTGCTCACAGAATGGGGTGCAGGTGGACCCCATCCTCGTGCAGGCAGGGTCTCAGTCCTGCCCCCTGCTGAGGACACAGCCACCCCACAGAGCAGGCCTGCGCTCCTCGGGGGCCAGGGTGTCCCGATGGCGCCCCCAGACCCGAGCCAGGGTTAAGGTGGGAGGCGGAACTGCTGCCTCGGACAGCAGGGGTCGTGGGCGGGCGTGGCGGAGGCCGTGGGTCTCAGGCGGGAGGCTGAGCCGGGAACCATGGGAGGAGAGCAGCTGTCCACAGAGCCGGATCACGTCAGCCCGTGGCGCCCACAAGACTCCGGCTCACGCCGCGCCTGTGGCCCCGGGACGCGGGCTGCGCCACGCTCTGCCGCCAAAAGCTGTCTTCCTCCGACATTTGAGCTTTCACACTGGGGAGCCAACCCTGACTCTGCTCCTGTCGCCCCTCGGAGCGGGACAGGCGTGCTCAGATGCCTCCTGTGGGCGCTGCTGCTGTCTCGCTCCCAGCGTCCGCTTACCTGCAAGTCAGATCCAGTGACTCCAGAGGGAGAAGCCCACATGCCGTGAGTGTGCCGGGAAGCCACCGGTGGCCAGCTCGCCTGCTGGGGCGGGAGACCCTGGAGCGCCCTGCCGGGTGTGCAGGGGGCTTTCTGTCCTCTCAGGACAGGACAAGGGGCGGCTTCGGCCTGCTGCGCTCCGGGCTACGTCGCAAAGGCCCCGGGCCAGCCTCCTTCTCTCCTGGGGTCAGCCCACACAGCGCTGCGTCATCTCCAGCACCCACAGCCCCGAGAAAGCCCTGCCCCAGCACTGCAGTCCGGGTGGCGCCCAGCTACCCATGGGGCTGCAGGTCTGGCAGGGGTGGGGCAGACGCCGTGTGCTTGAAGGGGGCAGAGACGAAAGCCACCCTGGCCCCGAGCGTGGAGCGCTGGGACATCAAGCTAGGTCACGGATAGGACCGGAACGGCACTGCTGCGTGGCGCACGTTCTAAGAGCAGATGGTGCGACCGGGGACACCCGCGGTGGCACCTGTGCTCCGTGCTCCTGGAGCCCACATCCTGGGGGAGACAGGCGGAGGAGCACACGGAGGGGGAGGGGCAGACTTCCCTGGGAGCAGGGGCAGGGGCCACGACAGGGAGGTGAGGAGGTGGCCCTGTGAGCTCTGCCCCGTGGGGACCCTCAAGCGGAGCGACCCAGACCAGGTGGGGACACTGCAGAAGCCACTCCCGTCCCGAGGCAGCTGACATCAAGTTCACCAAAAGGGAGCGGGTCCAGGGTGGGCCTGGCCTAATCAGGTGAGTCCTGAGCCAAGGCCAAGGGTGAGGCCGCCAAGGTTCCACCTCCGGCTCCAGCCGTGAGGAAGCAGAACCCTGGGCCCAGAGCCCCAAGGCCGAGAGCTCCGTCAGCCACACCACCGAGCCGGCAGGCAGATGCTTCCCAGCTGAGATTCCACAGGCGCCCAGCTCCCCCGGCGGGGCCCTGAGCAGGGACCCGGCTACGGCCTGCCGACACCCCACCCCCGGCGTGGGCAGCCAGGGTGCACTGCGGTGAGCTACTGTGGGCAGAGGCCTTTGTCTTTTTTTTTTTTTTTTTTTTTTTTGACAGGTAGAGTGGATAGTGAGAGAGAGAGACAGAGAGAGAGAAAGGTCTTCCTTTTGCCATTGGTTCACCCTCCAATGGCCGCCGTGGCCGGCGCGCTGCAGCCGGCATACCGCGCTGATCTGAAGGCAGGAGTCAGGTGCTTATCTTGGTCTCCCATGGGTTGCAGGGCCCAAGCACTTGGGCCATCCTCCACTGGACTCCCTGGCCACAGCAGAGAGCTGGCCTGGAAGGGGGGCGACCGGGACAGAATCTGGTGCCCCGACCGGGACTAGAACCCGGTGTGCCGGCGCTGCAAGGTGGAGGATTAGCCTAGTGAGCCGCGGCGCCGGCCACCTTTGTCTTTTAATCAAACTTATTTCTTGTTTCTTTTTTTTAAGATTTATTTATTTATTTGAAGGCAGAGTCACAGAGCAAGAGGAACAGGCAGAGAGAGAGAGAGAGAGAAAGGTCTTCCATGTGCAGGTTCATTCCCCAAATGGCCACAATGGCCGGGGCTGGGCCAGGCAGAAGCCAGGAGCCAGGAGCGTCTTCTGGGTCTCCCCCGGGGTGCAGGGGCTCAAGCCTGGGCCGTCTTCTGCTGCCTTCCTAGGACGTGGCAGGGAGCTGGATCGCAAGTGGAGCAGCTGGGACCCAAACCATCACCCATATGGGATCCCGGCCCTGCAGGTGGCGGCTTCACCCGCTGTGCCACGGCAGAGGCCTCTAATGAATCTCTCGCTGACACGAGTGAAGTGTGGAAGAGGCTTCCCCGGTCAGAAGAGAACTGCGGTTGCCACCTGCTGCCTGTGGTGTTCTGTATGCTCGTTAGCACTCGGGATGGCGTTAACCCCGGCCAGACACAGCTCAGCAGGTGCGTGGGAGCAGCAGCAGCAGCAGTGTTGTATCAGTCCCGTAGCCACCCTGTGTCCTCAGAGCACCCACTCGCACAGGGGAGACACATAAGGAAATACGCGCCTTGTTCTGGACAAAAGCCCACCTGGGCCTTATGCCGGCATCGATAATAAAAGACCCCTTCCTGGCACAGGCCCTGGGGTCTCTGCCATTGCCACAGGAGACTCACACCGGGGTGGGTCAAGCGGGAGCCGGGAGGCGTGGGCAGAATGGGGCGGACCAGAGGGAGGAAGGGGGTCGTGCCGGGGCTGGAGAGCCTCCCCCAGGGGCACCAAGTAAAGACTCCATCGCCCAGCGCGGGGGCGCCGGGCAGACTGAGCCTCGCAGAGCACGGGGCTCACCCAGGGCACGGTGAGGTGCTGGCTCCAGGCAGGGCCCCCGAGGGGGTGGGAGATGGGTAGGAGCAGACCGGCAGGGCCAGGGGAGAGAGCCTGGCTGAGCGAGCCAGGCGGCGGCTGTGGCGTCCTCAGAACCACACGGAGGCCCTGAAGGGCCGGGATCGGGCGTGATGAGAGCCTCACTGCTCGAGCCGTGAGGACCATGGACAAGGCGCCCACTGCGGGCAGGCACGGCGGGGCTGGGCAGCCCAGGAGATGCAGTCAGGCGGGCAGCCTCGCTGACGGAGGGCGTGGAGGGGTGGGTGGACCGGGGCTGAGGGCCACGATGGACACACGAAGGCCTAGGAGACACGGTCAGGTGCAGAGGAGGCGGGGTCAGGGCCGAGGCCTGTGGGCAGCTGGACCCTGCAAGGTGTGCGGATGCTCACACGCATGTCCCCGGCCCTCCCTCACCCGCCGCCCGGCACGGCCTGCGGAGCGCACGCCCCGGTTTCTTAGGCTCTTGGGAGAATTGAGGTGTGAATGTGTGTGTTCCTTCCGGTAGGAAGCAGGGGCTGAGCCCTAACAGCGAGCAGGGGGGCTCTCTAGGTCACGCTGGCTGTCCCCAGGACCCCGCGGGGGGCTCTCTAGGTCACGCTGGCTGTCCCCAGGACCCCGCGGGGGGCTCTCTAGGTCACGCTGGCTATCCCCAGGACCCCGTGGTCCCTCAGCAAGGCAAGGAGTCTCAGCCTCCGTGCAGCCCGCAGCCCGTCAGCTCACAAACGGGAGAAATTGCCGTTCGTGGCCGACCTGGATCCCACGCGGAGGCGCTTGTGGGCAGTCGCTCCCGCCCCGGACTTCCTGAGTGCTCATCCGAGTGACCTCGGGTGCAGATGGACCCCGGGAGATGTGTCTGTCGCTGGTGTGGCTCAAGATGAAACCAACAGGACACGGCTGTCGCAGGGTCAGGAGCAGGAGAGCCGGGGACCGGGAGAGGCCGGGAGGAGCCAGGCGCCCGCCCCGCAGCCTCCCAAGCCCAGGATGCAATGGAGCTGGGGAAGCCACCCCTGGCACGGCTGCCCTGGGCCCCGCAGAGGCTGCAGCCAGAGGAGGAGGCGGAGACTCAGCGGAGCGTTTTGGGGAACTGACCCATGACAACGGCACCTGCTGTACTTCCCCTGCCCGCCCCCCGCCCGCCCCCGCCGCCCTCTCGTTCCTTCTCTCTCACAGTTGGCTGAAAGGTGGGGCCACTTCCGCTGCCTTTGCAACACCAGAGCCTTCTTAAGGGGAGCCGGGCCCGTCCTGCCCCCACCGCCCGTCCCCGGCCGCTCCCGACACCTGCTTGCACCTGACCATGTCCCTGGCGGAGGCCATCAGCCTCTGGAATGAGGGGGTGCTGGCGGCTGACCGGGAGGACTGGAGGGGGGCCCTGGCCGCCCTCTGCGCAGTCCAGGACCCGCACGCCCGGATCTGCTTCAACGTGGGCTGCGTGCACGCCATCCTGGGAGACCTGCCTGAGGCAGAGAAGGTGAGTGAGGGCTCTTCCCACCTCCTCAGTGTCCGCAGCCTCTGCCCTCGGGCTGGTGGCCACGGAACCCAAATCTCCAGGGAGCTTCCGCATTAGCCCAGAGCCCCCGCCCAGCTGGCCTGGGCAGGGCCTGCGCCACAGCTCCCAAAATTCCCCAGCTGCTCGGGAGGGGCGTGGGCAGCCCAGGCCGGGAGCCGTGACCAGGGCCAGGCTGTCCCTCTTCCCCCTCTTCTCAGCCGTGATGGCCCTGACCCACGGGGCACTGGCTCGCTCCGTCTCCGTCTCTGTCCCCGTCCCGGCCACGAGGTGCCCCCAGGGCAGCCCGGCCCTCTGGCTCACCAAGAGCCGGCTGCATCTCCAGTGCGCGCCTAGCTAACCGTGACTGACAGGGCGTCAGCCAAGGGCAGGGCTGGGGATGGGGTCTGAGCACCTTCTAAAGTACTTTTGCCTCTCGCGTACCCCGGTGGGGGCCAGTGGGGTCAGGGCCAGGGAGACGCCCCCGGGTCCAGCAGCAGGAGCGCTCCAGGCAAACGGCAGCGCCGCTCCTCCCTGCACCTTGGGTCTCCAAGGGCATAAACACCGCAGCGATTGCGTGAGACA